AAGCTGTTAGTCTCCTGGACGGGAGAATTCGTTTGTAAAGAGAAAAAAAAAAAAAAAGTTTTGGGGTCTTATTTTAAGTTTATATATATATATATATATATATACCTCATCATCCCTAAACTTAGATACCTCCTCTGTGGCATGTAGGTGGAATTTTTCCTCTTTTGTAGTTATCCTATCCTTTGTCTTCTACTTTGAACTCTTTTTACCCCCAATTTGCTCATTGTCTTTTTGATTACACACCTTCTTAGCTTGCTGTTATCTTTACCCCTTCCTTCTGAGGTTCTGTAACATCTTCTCTGACAGCTTTACTGGAAAAGGTCACACTAACCTATTCTCCATGCTGTCTCATTTTCTCTCTGACTGCTGTCAAGTTTCTGCGATTTACTTCATCAGGATGCCTTTTTTCTGGAGCTAAGCTTCCTCACTTTTGTCTCGGAGAACTCCATTTGGCACCCTTTTTCTTTGGAACTTTTTTTTGAAGGGGGGAGTACCTCGACCTGTGCCCTTTTCCTGGTGTTTCCCCTCGAACGAGATAAATCATCATGAAACTCAGTGATCAGTTGTTTTTGGAATCACTCCTTGACTTGGTTTTATGGAGGAGATCATCCAGGCTGGAATGTGGATTACTACCCATACATTTGTCTCTCATTACTTACACCATCTGGCTGTGTCATTCTTTGGTGAATATTATCTACCTTCTGTGGTGATTCTACACACACTAGTTCAATTCTAACTTGGGTAAGTGTCTTTTTCTGTTTTATTTTCTTTCAGGGGCTTCCATTTTCTTCAGTATATATTCAGATCCTGTTCAGTGCCCACCCCTGCTGCTTCTTTGATTGAATAAATAGGGAATGGTTTGCTTTTTAAAATCAGGTTTTGTGGTTACCCATTGCACTTTCTTGGGGGTGACATTCCTCTGGACTTCTCAATGCCTTTTACCCCTCCTTTCCTTGAGTGGAGTTTAGGAGTCCTTGCCACTGGAGTGGTGGACCATGGAGGCTTCCTCATGACTGTAGAACACACATCATAACATTCCGTATCACTCCAATACATTGAGAAGAGGGCGAAGCTGGGAATCCTCCTTCCTTCTAAATCCTGTAGATTTAATCCCATATGTGCTGATGTTGGTGGGAGCTGGACCAGTCAATGCTGGATCCTCTTCATAATACTGGGTTCAGGTAGATAGTGCCTTGTTCCTACGGTTGAGACTGGTAGATGGCCCCTTCTTGGTGATTCCAATTGCAGGATGTTTCATTTCTATGCTCCTCCTACGGTTGAGCTTGGGGAACATTGTCCGCCTTATAATTCTGGTTGCTGGACATGTGATGCCCTGTTCCTTTGGTTGAGCAGGTATTCCACATCCTCCTCATAATGCTGGGTCAGTGATGTTTCATCCCTTCTCATATGGTTAAATTTGAATCATTATTTTCCTGATCATAATACTGGGTACAGGATAATTCCCTGTTCTTACGGTTTAGTTGAGGCTTAGTCACAGCCCCGTAAGTCTGGGTTCGGTTTGTTGTACTTTTTTACTTCTTGTCTCCTACAGTTGATTTGGAAGTTTGTCTAGTGGATACCGTTTGCTTGCTTCCTCATCATTGTCGTAATTCTGGTTGCTTGCAATATAGCACTCTCTTTACTTGCAGGGGTAAGGTGGTGTGTGTGTGTGTGTGTGTTGGTGTATATATTTCTAACGGTAAGCTTGTTCTGGCCACCATATTGTTTATACTGGTTTTAATCTTATGTGAGGTCCTCTACCTTGTTTTACCAAGGACGGGATGTAGAACATTGTCTGTATGGTTGGGGTTGAGTAGATACTTAGCAATGTCTCATTGAATGCCTCCATCTTTATAATTCCATGAACTGGCCATTGGCTTTCCATTTTTTCCATGCGGGTATGGAGTTACCTATTTTTCTTTTTACTACTTGTAAATCCTATCCTACTGGAGTTGGTTTGTTTCCAGTCATGTTTGTATGGTTGAGGATGGAGTGGATTTTACGTCAATTATTTACACCTGATACATTGTTTTCTGAGGTCTTTCTTTTACTAGCTCCAGGCCTTGATGCTGCCCATTTCACGACACTCCACTTCTTTGATGGTGAAGAGCATATCTATTCCAGAAGTGGTGCAGTCTCTCACATGTGTGCTTCCATTCAATTACAGAGCACATTTTTTAGATTCTCTACGGACACTTTCTGTATGGGTCTCGTTTTATCTTACATTAGTCTCTCCTCCTACACAATGTGGGATTCAAGCTATTGTGTGAGAGGAGGTAAGTATAGTATCAGAAGTTATCATTTTCTTACGCTGCAAATAGCTTGTGATAAATACTTACCTCCTCTCACACACTTCCTCCCCATTTCTGGTGTTCATCTGTTTCTTGAGGGCCTAATCTCGAAAGTGAGGTTCATGTAAACTTGTACAGAGGGAACCAGCTGCTGTAGGAGAGTGTGTTGTGCTCCCGTTGCTGGAGGGTTGTCACATGCTGAATGAGCAGCTCAAACTTATGGGGTATAAAGGTTAGCACATCAAGCAAAAAAATTTCTTTTCATTGCATTAGAGGGCAGTGGAAGATTGAGAAAAGGTATTGTTTGAGAGGATATAAGTATCTATCGGAAATATATTTTCAGTAAATTGGCTATATATAAATTGAAGGTTCAGATACTTACCAGATTTAGTAACACATGAAATGATAATAAGATTAGACAAAACTCTAGGCATGATATATATTAAGTGGACATTAGCAACTACTTTGGTTGCTATTGTTCACAGTAATTTTAACTATCTGTGCTTTATAAAACATCTTTTGATATAGAAGCAGAGTTTTTGATTTTTTTACAAGAAAATGTACAACATGTTAAATATTGAAGACTATTTTCATTTCTTCGTCTTTCATCTCCTTTCTTTTACAGGTGGAATATCTTTATCAGCTTGTGTTTCAAATGCTCGAACTTCTTAGCAGCAGCAAGTAGGTGTATATTGTAATATAAATAACAGGGTGATTATAAAGAAAACACAATATTTAAAATTATTATATCTTAAAAACTACTCATCTTTGGGGAACACAATTTGAACAGAAGAAAGTTGAAAATCATATTTCATTTAGAAAAGTTTGATATTGTACAGGGTTTTTCATAGCCATATTGTACTACACATGAAAATACTACTTGGCAAACTAGTATTTCTTTTATTTGTCTTCTTTCCCTTTATTTCAGCAATACCAGATTGGTGGTATGAATAAAATATGTGTCAGTGTGCAGGACAATGCAAGGATTAGTGAACATTCTTCAGAACGTTTAGGGATAACCTTGATATAAAACATACTTAATACATCATCTGACAGTTTTTTAAACACTGTACCGAGTGCAGAATTTCCCAAATAACATTTTGTGTGTTTTATGTGTTTCTGGTGGAATTTTGTTCCCTTATGGCAGACAGTTCTTAAATTATAATTGTTTTAAATATGTTTTTTATTTACATGTATGTATTGATAAGGGCTCTGCCATTCTTCCTTACTGGATTGAGACTTTTTCTTCACTTTCTTTTCTGTTTCTTAGTTATTTAAGTATTGTTGGTGTTGGGCAATACCACTAGCATTAGTGATATATTATTTGTTACTCATTACTGAAACTAAATATAGTATTACATATTACTTGCAAAGAAAGTAATATTTTTGTTACAACTTACATAATGTCAAAAAAACATTTCAAATTATTTGACACACTTTGAGAGCAATACCAAGATTTATTAATGGTAATCATGACCACAAGCAAAATATCCATTGTTTGACTGATAAACTGTTACTCAGTCAGTTGAGATCTGTAACACTAACATTTACATTAATCAATGTGTGTTGGTGAATATATTACTAACGGTTCGCTTGTCGTGGCCATTATACATTAGTCATGATAACCATTAATAAATCTTGGTATTGCTCTCAAACTGTGTCAAATAATTTGAATTGGTTGAATTTAGTTTCAGTAATGAGTAACAAATAATATATCACTAATGCTAGTGATATTGCCCAACACCAACAATACTTAAATAACTAAGAAACAGAAAAGAAAGTGAAGAAAAGTCTCAATCCAGTAAGAAATCAAGTCTGTGACACTTACATTCACATTAATCGCATATTAGACTGCCCAAATGTTTTTTTCTTCCCAGGTACAACATTATATTTTTGGTATCATTTTCTAAAATCCCAATATAATTCTGGTATTTCCAACTGTAAAATTAGATTTTTTAAAATGATTTTCAAGCTTAAACAAAGTGGTGGACTAATACAGGAAACAGAGAATAGGAAATAACCTTCATAACACCATTAGAAAATTTAACATTTGTAGCATATATGAACATTATGATTTAATAAATAATTAAAAATAGTTTTTACATTTAGGTTTAAAGTAACTGTAATAATAATAAAGTTTTTAAAAAGGAGTGCATTGCATTACTTCATTACTCATAAAAGTAATATTATTACAGTAAATTGTTACCCTAACACTGAGTATTGAAGACATTTATTTGTTATTCAAAAACATGTTAGAAATAACATTTAAAAGAAGAAGCTAGTGGATCTTCATATTTGTAGTTAATTTGAAGGTTAAAAAAACAATATGTATTTTTGTATAAGCAGATTAACATCAATAGGAATTTGTAAATTACTATCCTATGTTTGTAGTATTTATTAACTTGAATATCACAGACATTGAGCTAAAGTTTTATTCATGAACTTCCTTAAAGATCTGTTTTAATATTACATATATATATATATATATTTATAAGGAGTTTTGTAGTATATTTTATATATTTTCTTTTTGTTTTGGAAACCTCAATTTAAATATATTATTTTTTGTTTAGAAATACAAATATTAAATGTCTTTGTCAGGTGTAATATTTTGGCATAAACTTGTCATTGTAGGATATTTCAAAAATTAAAGTAAATTAAAGTTCTAAGTTTATGGATATAAATAAGTAAGTTTTATATGCAATAAATAAAGCTGTGATATTAAACCATATGGTCTTATTTTTGCTCCTTTTTCCCTGTGTTTACTATCCTGTAGTTGCTGTTTGTTAATGTGTATTGAAGTCATTCATGATTTCATTACAGTAAGAAATATGTTGGTAAGCCATAGGACTTGCTGTATTGAACAAAGCATTGCAAGTAACATAAGCTCATGTCTTTTATCACTCAAAAAATGCTGCCTGTTTCATTGTTATTATAGGTTGTGTAGATATTGTTGAGTTTAAATTTCTATTTGAGTTCTTTAGTGGAATGATATTTTCTTCTTTAGTTGAGACCTTCTTCAGGTCAAAGTCTTAGCATAGAGACTAAAACATTGCTTAACTCAAGAAACAAATCAGTACAATATATATTCCAACTGTACAATAGTATCTGTTTGTTGAACTGTGTAGGTACACATGGAACAACGTTTTACAATACACAATTAAAATCTTTATTTAAACCAACCAATGGTTGTAAAAGTTACTCTACATGTTTCAACGTGGTTTCTCGTCATCTTCAGGAGTGTGAAAAACAGTTACTGTTTGCTATATTGATACAAAAGCCATCGTCATGTGGTATTAGTTTACAATTCAAAAAAGAAGATCATGCCATCTACATATTTTCTGATTTTCTAACTCTTCATCCTTGTTTGCGATAAAGTTGTTTTTTGCTGAGTTTCATTATTTCAATGGTTTCTCCAATATTTCTAGCAGTCATATTATTTGGTTGAGCCAAAATAACCATTTTTTTCTCACTGGATGATATGTGCAGTCAAATTTACATGTTCAGCAAATGCAGAGTTTTCACTTTTGTTTTTAACATTTCTCTCACATTAATTTATTCTAAATTTTAAGTTTCTTCTAGTATGACCAGTGTATGCACAACCACATTCACATTGAGCTTTAAATATACCTGTTTTCCCCATTAG